TTGGAAAGATAAAAGATACGCCTTCATCAACCCGAAACCAATTCGGATATCTTCTACAATCAGTACAGGGAACAAGATTCGCATTACCAACACCAGTGTCAAGTTGATCAGTTCTTCTCTAGGGGTCAGAAACTTGGCCAGCTTGTCACGGAAAGGATTTCCAACAGGCTGCTGCAGACTTTCATCAAAAGCTGCCTTTGCTCCATAGTGAGGATCAGATGGTCAGAAAGAATTTAATAACAAGAAACTATGAGAACAAACTAACCAAGAGCCTATTCCTCAACAAATATGTAGGAGAAAATGTAGATGGATTGGGCATACCTTGAGGAAGCCGTTGAATGACATTGCGCATCAGGCCCTCAAGTGGAATCACAATAGGAACCCACAGGTGGGTCATTCATGCGAGGTGACATGGAGGAAATCATTTGAGAAGAAGGATGGATTGAGGGATTATGGTCCATCGTTTACCCAGTGAAGAGACAGCAAAAAAAAGAACAAAATGGAGATGTGTTGAAGCCAGCCCTATGCTTCACTCGGAATGCAAGGGAATAATAATAATAATAGGACTATTTAGCGCTATTTCCAAAGTCCCCTACGACTAGAAAAGGGTGAAGAGGGAAGTCATGTCTCACACGGTATAGCAAATGACACAACAAATATTCCAACTGCAGGAGCAGTTACATTGGAAAAAACGATTTTCTGAACATATACCCATTAAGCCTATGTCTAAATTTTTCCCTTTGAACAGTCCCATCGCCAGGCATCTCTTTAACACAAGTTATGAGGTGGACGCCGCAAGATCGTTCAAAATTATCAAAAGGCAAAAGAGTTCAATTCTCCTCAAGTTTACGAAGTGACCTCCATCAAGCGAGTGAAACCCAATTTATGTGGTAACTGGATATTTTCATCTATCTTTCATCTGATTACGTAATGTTGGAAGTTTCCATTGTGTATGATCATTGTTGTTCGGAATAAAGTGTTTATTATTAAATATGTTAATATTGTATATATATATAAATTGACTGATTTTTGTTTAGAAATGAGCTGTCTGTGCAGTTATGTTAAAATTCAATTGGTGGATGGTGACTAGCAGTGGAATCCAGGATAAAGCGCATTTCGTCCTATTTGGGACTCGTCAGCAAGCTGGATGTACCTGCATTTCTCAGTGAGTGATGATGTTCCCACCGAGGCTCTAACCCAGTACCCATAGTTTCGAATGCCAAAGCGTTATCCACTAGACCATTTGGGCCACGAGAGCTGGCCACCTCTTGAGACCGAGCACTTCGGTCCAATCAATCGACGGGAAAATCAAAAAATTCCAATTCAATATGTTAAAATTGTTTCTGTAGATAAACTTAATGATGACTTTAGGCTGTAAGCAGCTGATGAAAAGCCAAGGAAATACACAATGATTGTACCATTTTATTCTGCAAAAACTGTTATTCTTGTTTTATTCCAATTCATAAAAGGGAATAAATGTAATCGCATTATGGGTGAAATTTGTTTTGATAAAGTTTCAGAGTGTTATACAGTAATATTTACTGATGATAAAGTTTCGAGTACGATTTAATACTGATCATAATCATATCAAGGCACTACTCACACAATTTTCTAATTTCGTTTATATAATTCCATTATTTTTTCCATCGCTTGATTTGATTCGTAGTAGTATTTTCCATATTTCCGGCATGAGTGATGAGTCATTCATATTGTATGTGTTAAGTGTGAACTCGATGAACCAGGCGCGATTCAGTAATCAGCCTCTCTCTATCTCCACCTACCTAGATTACTTTTAGAATTTTAACTCTCTCCCATCGTGTTGTGTGCTTGTGTGTTAATTGCTGAATTTATTAAATTAGTCATCTTCGTTGGTGGGATCAATCGTTCTAACCTTAGCTAAATTCTTATGTTCCGACAATCAGACTACCCCCGACCTACTAGTTCTGTCTATGTAGTTGACTTAACTCACAGTCACTGCAAGGTATTTTGTAAATTATGTTATTTTGTCTAATTGGGTCCATCGGGTCTCTTAGCTCACAGCGCTTGTCTTATCTGAGTGAGTTTGTAGGTTTGAATGCAACTCTAACTCCTGCTTTATTAAAAATCCTACGTAGAGAGTGTCTCAGATTTTCCCTCATAATATGGTATAACAGTAGATGACTTATATTCTCTCTAATTTATGTGATCATTATTAGTTTCACAATTAATTTTATTTTGTTTTTGGCCTTTTCTGATCTACCTAATGAATTTTATAGGATAGTTGTTCAACACCAACCAGCTATTCTTCCTCTATCTGTTTCATTTCATCATTTAGGTCTTTTCTTCTTATACTACTTAGTGCTTTGGCTCGATTTGTTAGACACTTCACTAAGCCTGCCTTAACAGTCAACGGATGACATGAATTAAAGTCTAAATATTTATTTGAATGTGTTGACATTTTATAAACGCCACTGTGCAGTTTACCTTCTTCTATTCGTTTTATTTTACAATCTAACATCATGGCTAATTGTTCTCCTTGTTCATTTTCCGATTGAAATGTCAATTTTATTCCCTAAACTAGTGGGTTTATGGACGTTTGTCAAGAAGCTAGAGAGAGAGATGTTCTGTTTTTAATAATATGAAAGTGTTACCCACATACCTCCACCATATTTTCAGAGTAGGATTAAATGTATTATGTATTCCTCAGCTATCATACATAAAGATATCTGCTACAATAGGGGATATTTGTGATCCTACCGCTACACCATCTGTTTGTTTATATATTTTGCCCTGGAATTTAAAGCCAGTAGATCTTCAGACTATTGGAAGGTAACATTGCATTGTGTTTTAGTAAGAGAAATATTTAGTAAGCCGTTTACGTGCCTAGTGCATCTAGTTCTAGTCAGAAAGAAGAGACATGACAAACAGTGGCTCACTACGGACACTTGAAGACTAATAGAAGAGAGAAGGATGGTGAAAAAAAAGATTATCCAGTGCACTGACGAGCAACAAAAACAGGATTTGAATGCAAGCTAAAATACATTGAACAAAGGAGTAAAGAAAAGTGTCAGGAAAGACAAAAGAAAATGTTATGAAGCTATGGCAAATGAAGCAGAACAAGCTGCAGCGCAGGCAAAGGAGACCTCGCCACACTCTACCAAACAACTAGGCACCTATCGGGCAAAAGTTCGACACAGATTAAGCCAGTAAAGGATGACAATGGAAAGTCAATCACCAAAGAGTTGGAACAGAGAAACAATGGGCTGAACACTTCAAAAGACTTAGTCGACCGCCATTAACAACGTGCCCAATAATACCAGCAACAGAAGCAGAACTACCTGTGGACATCAACCCTCCGATGAGAACAGAAATCCTGAAGGCAATCAAGATGCTAAAAGCTGGAAAAGCAGCAGGACCAGATGGAATCCCAATAGAGGCATTGAAAATGCACCCAGAGACATCAGCAGACTTAATGACACCAATACTGTAGTAGGTATAGAAAGAAGGCAAAGTACCCGAGGATTGGAAGAACGGATACTTATTCAAACTACCAGAGAAAGGAGACTTAAGTCAATGCAAGAACTGGTGCGACATTATGCTCCTGTCCACCTTAAGCAAAATACTAAGCCGCGCCATCCCGGAGAGAATCAAACACGCCCTGAATGAAAAACTTAGACCGGAACAGGCTGGATTCAGGGGAAACAAGTCATGTATTGATCAAATCGCCACTCTACGGATCATCATTGAACAAAGCTTGGAATGGCAGTCACCTCTCCAACTCACTCAACTTCAACTTTGAAAAGGCCTTCAGTAGACAGCGTCGATCGAGAGGTGATTTGGCAACTACTTCGCCACTACCAAGGGGTGCCTCCAACAATTATACATCTCATCCAACAGTTGTACAACAATGAAGTATAAAAGACAGTCATTTTCAGCATTTTTCTAACGACAAAATACCAAATCAAATAGGAGCAACTATTTCGAGGGGAATTCAAATTGTAATCGATCGCTTTTGCTGTTTCCATTCAAGCTGGTGAAGTAAATTTGCTTTTGGCCATAATTAATATACTCAAATCTAGAAAAAACAATGTCAATGAAAGTTTCTAATCTTTTTCTTTTGGTAAACAGGCCTACTTGAAGAGGAAGTGTCTTGAAAGTTCACTTCTTGTTCCGCCCACTCCAGTTCCTTCGTTACTTAGATATAATAGGAAAGATTTATAGATGATCTTGATGAATTTGTGTTCTATGACCTGGATGGATAGTTTATTTGCGAAGTTTTCATTGCCGCCCTACTGGGCAACAACTTCAGCGCATACTTCAAATTTAAGTTTTTATTAATTCTGGATCAATAGAAATTTGTAGCTCAGGTGGACGATTTGCAATTAGTGGTATTCTCTCAGCTGTTTGGTTTAGTTGAGGAGCTTTCGTCATTTCTTCTGGACAACATCATCCCACAATGAGATAGACCCAAGAGTCAGACTGAGATAAACTGACACCAGAACGAGAATTTCAATTTCAGCAACCCTCAGTAGACAAAAAACATGGTGTATTACATTCACAAACGTCTCAGAAGAGTGAGCCATAAATAAACGAATAGGAACTATTCAATAAGGTTATCATATCAGTACATGCATAAATCACGAATTCACGGTTAACAGAGAAGCTTATCCTCCATCCCAACGAAGTCAAAAGCAACGAAGAACTCTGACGACGAACCAACCAACAACCTGTTGTCGAACAAAAGTTGCAGAATAGGGTGGAGATAGACTGGAGATACACGCTGAGTAAACATTCCAAGCAACGTCACACACAGGCACTCGAATGAGCAAATATACTGCAGTTTCATGCAAAATATCATGTGAAGAACAAATATAACCTTTTGAACAGTCATAAAGTCAGTTAAAAGTGATTGTATAGAGCTGAATGCATTACAGATTTGCTCCTAAAGCTTTAAGGATCCTTTCAGAAAAGAGGGAAGGAATCATAGAAGATACATTTTAATTCATTAACATCCAACTTACACGGTCATGATTCACATGAAATTCATCCACATATAAATCATCTAATGAAGATCTTGGCAAAGAAAGTATAAATTGTTGATGATGATAATCACATTCATCTCCATAGTAATCAAAACCACCACCACCACCAACAACAACACTATGACGTTGTCTTCTCATGAATAAATCATTTTCCATTGTAGTTTTTGAAAAAACGCCAATTTTTATGCCTTTTTCTTCTGCTTGCCCTCTTTCTCCTGGTAATTCATTAAAGAATAAGGCTGTCATAAGTTTTGTACTCTCTGTAATAAATAATCTCCTTGTAATGACATTGATGTCAGTGTAAGGGATATCAGTTGGTTTACGTTGAAATTCATTCATAAGTGATAAATAATTATGCTCATGTTCACTCTCACTGAAGGCATCGGTATTTATTTCAATTAATGAAGGTTTATGAAATTGTCTATATCTTATAATGTGATTACTAACCGATGATTTTGAGTTATCTAAAATAGCAAAAGAGGAGAGAAAATAAAGCAAAAAAAAGGTAAGTTAAAATTTAGTCAACAACTGTAACTCTGTATTCCTGTAAAATCGAACATTAATTGTATCTATTTCGCCGCATGATACATGCAATTTTTTTCGAAATCGTGGCTGTTGAAGCTTCTTTATATTTTCAGGTATTAGTTATGTAGAGATGTTTTGGGTGGGTGCGTACTGATGAAGAGTCCAAACTAAACTGACGAAACAGCTGTCCAGTACTCCCTGCAGGTTTTTCAGGGGTTCTCTAACTGATGTCAGCTAATGATGAAATCCTCCATGCAATCAAACGAAAAAATCTTTACAAAACCAATGCCTGAAAATTCATCGGATGCTCACTAGTGTCTGGCCCTATTCAGGCAGTTAACCTGGGGTTCTAGTGGGAAGCCGTGACCAGTAGGGTACAGCGGGTTGAAGATGAGGCAGTAACTCATCGAAGAAGACATTGCGAAGTGGTCGCGCTATGTCATACGTGAACTGGCAGAAGTTAGAATTTATGGGCTGGTCATTGGATTGGATCTCAGTGGCTCAATGGTCTACGAGCTCGCTGGCCTTGTAACCAGAAGGTGCTGGTTTCGAAGGCCGCTGGTGATGGGTGCTTGCTGATGAAGAGTCCCAAACCAGACTGACAAAACAGCTGTCCAGTACTCCTTACAGTTTTTCCAATGGTTCTCTAACTGATTTCAGCTCATGATGAAATCTTCCATACTTTATATTTGCTTGTGATATGTTAGATTACAATGGGGTCAGTTGTATTCAAGAAGGGCAGAGAGGAGTTCTCACTCGTGACAGTAATTGACTGATTGGTGAACCTCAAAAGCCAATAAGGTATTACAGGGTTAGAATACGCGTTCAGTAATTTGTGTATTTCATCATCCACATGACTCTTAGGGTCTACCTATGGTGATTCTAATGAAATGATGACCTTGATGTGATTTCAAATCTAGTGATTACCAGTGGAATCCAAGATGTGCATTTCATCATTTGGGTGTACCTACATTCATCATTAAGTAGTGGTGTTCCTACTTAGACTCGAACCAACTAACCATCATCATCTCAAGTGTCAGAGTTTTATTCACCAGGCTATATGGGCCAAGAAAGCCATCCCCTGTGCAACGGGAATCAGATGTTACCTGTTTTTAAGTCAATTTTGATTTTCAAGTATTGATTTTGTGGGGATTTTGTTTGAATGGATGGAGAATTTCATAATGAGCTGACATCAGTTAGAGAACCCCTGGAAAACCTGCAGGGAGTACTAGACAGCCGTTTCGTCAGTATAGTTTGCGACTCTTCAGAAGCACCCACACACTGGTGTTCGTACTTAGAAACTTCTGGTACAAGGTGAGCTCGTAGACCATTCAGCCACTGGACCCGATCCAATTCATGGGTTGACCATTCAATCGGGTCCCAGTGGCTTAATGGTCTACGAGCTTGCTGGCTTTGTAACTAGAAGGTCCTGGATTCGAACCCCGCAGGCGGTCTGTGAGTACTGATAAAGAGACGCAAAACAGGACGAAACAACCGTTCAGTACTCCTTGAAGGTTTTCCGATGGTTCTCTAACTGATGTCAGCTCATGATGAAATCCTCCATCCAATTTTGATTTTTTCTGCTGACTGAGTGGACTTAAATGTGTCCTGGCAGAGACGCTTTGATGATAAATGAGGATTAACCTCAAGTAACGGCGATTATTGGGTTTCAATTAAAGTGGGAACAGAATCACTCACGATGCAAAGCAGAATATACCCATCTGATGAGCCGTAAAATGAGACTAAAATGTGCATCCCACATTCCGCAGCCAGTTACCTTCCTCCAAATTACTTCGAATTAATCCTCAGATGTTCGGTGTTTAGATCATTTCTGTCTCACTAGTAAGTACTACTAATTTAAATGAGTGGTATCCTGCTACTCATATCGGCCAATCAGTAGTACATAATACAATGCAATTAAAATATGCTGAATGATACTAGAAATTCGAGTTATGACAGAAAATCATATTTAGGGGGATGGTAGTAGCCAGTGACAGTCTTCATCATGTGAAATCAATTGGAAAACTATTCCGAGTGATAATTTTTTCAAAACCAGAAGAAATGTAATGCCTACTTCAAGAGGCATCCTTGAAACATTTCATTAACTTCATGAAGTCACTAAAAACAGCAGGAAAGACTAGACATTTCAAAATATTAGAGAGAGAGATAAAAGAAGAACAAGGAGAAGTTCAACAGCGAAGATGTTGATCTTTACAGCGGTTTCAGTCTCAAAACCAGCTGTACAATCGAATTTATATACATACAATTATTACTTATTGAATTCCACATAGGAAACAGGCATAAAATGGACCCAAACAAAAAACTTAGAGGATCTGGACTTCGTCGATGCGATATATGTCTGATTTTCCACAAACTGCATGGAGTATATGCAAGTGCAAAGCAGTAGTTTGGCAGAAGTAGCATCCAGAGAAGATACGACTTCCTTCAGGTGAATATAGAGAAGACAGAGGTAGGTGATGAAGATTCCTGGCCAACAGAAACAGCGACAGACACCAATAAGCATAAATGGGATAAATCCGAAAGAAGCAACCTCCTCTATCTACCTACGTATCTAGGAAGCATCGTTTCAACTACAGGTGGACGGAACTGACTAGGATATTAAAGCGAGGATCATCCAGAAAGTAAGTCAAACTTTCATTTCTCACAAGTCTGTGTGGAGACCAACAGCACTCAGCATGAAATTGAAAATGAAATCCGGTTTTTCAACTACAATGTGAAGTCAGTGCTACTCACTATACGGATCAGAGACTTAGCGCGACATGAAGAGCACCTCAAACAAACTACACACCTTCATCAACAGCTGTCTTCGCTAAATACTCAGGATCCGATGTCCGGCCAGGGAAGATCAGCAATAGCGAGGGATCTCTGGCAATCAGCAAACCAACACAGCAGGAACCAATTGTGCAAGAGGAGGTATGGAGGAAGAAATGGAGGTGGATTACCAGGCCATACTGTGAGAAAAAAACCATCAAATAAATGACATCACACGCCAGGCTGTGATTCGAGCGGAACTCGAATGGGAAGTGGCTATTTGGTCGTCAGTGCGAGCGTAGTGTGACATGGAGGAGGTCATGTGAAGAGGAGATGAAAGCATGTGATGGACGCTGGAGCCAAGTGAAAACACTGGTAGAGAATCGAATGCAATGGAGACGTGCAGCTGAAGCCCTATATTCCTCTAGGAACTAAAGAAAACAATAGTAATTATAATAATTCCACATAACAACGACAAAGGAGATTAAAGGTGATAATAATTTTCAACTTGAATGTATGAAAGTGTGAATATCGAATTTCAAAGGGTTTGGAAACGAAATCACACAGAACTAGAAAATAGTCACATAATGTGTAAAGAATTTTTTTTTCTAACGAATACAGGTGTGAATGGGATGAAATTGATTGCAATAATGGCTCTGATTACAACTAAAATGTAAAAAATCGAAGGGAATAGGGAAACAAAAACATGAAATCTAACGATCTAAACCGAACTAGATCCGTGGTAAATGTAGAGATTTGACTAATTTCTTTTCAACACACATAACTTCAACTTTTCGATGCATATGGTGAAGGCGTCTGCTGTACAAAGACATCGGAAACATATTGTCTTTGCTAGATTTTTGTTTACTGTGTAAATGACTCTGAATGATGGATGGATGAGTAAGCTGAGATGCTCTGACAGGTGTGTGGATGTAGTGTTCAGTTAGGAAACTTTTGATTGTACTAGTGAATCCTCTTTTCAGTCATGGTCAGTAATGTTCACCGACACATTTTGATAGGATCCGCATAGAATGATCTATGTGCCTAGCTCGACATCAGCAGGTACATACATGCACATTGAAGAGGTCATACGCGGAAGTCTGTCTTTCACATTACTTCAAAGCAGTGGGCAGCTGGAGAATATCACTCCTAAAGTTGCTTCAGAAAAGCACTAGATTAATGAACTGGAGATTCTCCTCTTGGGAATATCTGCAGCTAAGTTCCACCTGAAGTCCAGAATCGAATATAGTGTTTTCTTTGGAGCTGAAATGCCTTCTTCGCCTTTTTGAACTTTGTTTCATTTTCTTCTCCAGAAAAAGTGTTGCATATCCATTTTAAGCCAGGATATTCTTAAAGAAAACAGAATCTCTTCTTCTAAGCAGTCACTGCTGTGAATTCTTATAATATGGTGGGCCAGCGAATTACATAATATAATTATTTCAATTTGTCGCCATGCCTATCTCATTCACACCTGTATTCATTAAGAAACTATTTTACATATTACGCAACTATCTTCTAGTCCAATATGTGCAGCTAGTTTTGAGAATGAAATCGTTGAAAAGATCAATATATAAAGGGGCAAAGTTAAACTTTAAGCACCACTAACTGCCAATCAGAGAATGACCCCGAACGCGCCAATCACGCGATGGAGGCATTTTGTGTATTGAATACATTTATTGTACAAAACTGTATAAAGTATAACAGAGGATACCATCTTCTCACTTGTGATAAAGATAACTCTTAGTTTTAGGCTGGATTATCAACAGAGTATAATTCCATTGTGGATAAAATTTATTTTGACAGAGCCTCATAATGTTATGCAGCAATATTTACTTAGCAATAAATGGTGCTCGAAACGTCATCACTAAATATTACTGTATAACACCCTGAGACTTAACCAAAATAAATTTTATTCACAATGGAATTACACTCTGCTACAGTGCACAAGTTCTGTTCTTATATCAACAGAGTAATTTAATCACATTCTATGCATGCAATTATTCAAGTCTTCCGACTCTAACAATAACCCTAATCTTTCCTGAACCTAAGCCTTACGTGAAAATATTCCTAACCTAACTGTAATGTAACGCGAATCGAACCTACTGTCACCTTCGTTAGATTAACCTTACCTTAACTTGTCCTTGGCTAAAATGAGTAACTTAATCTTTCCCAAACCTAAGCTGAAACTTGCCGGATATCCTATTTTATAACATAATACTTCGATTGACAAAATTTATTGATGATGACAACATTTTTGCCAGATTTCACTAATTTGCACAGTGAGCGTTTCAAGGTCACTGTCGCGGTCGCACTCCATTGATAGTGAATGGTGCTTAAAATTTAACTTCGCCTATAAAGGATATCTCAGAAATCACTGCAAAACTCCTCAAATCAACAAAATCACTTCACTCAGCTGGCTGGCTAGCTCTATGTCAACCAAAAGACTCAACAACCAATGAAGATAAAACCAACATCATCTACAACACAAATTGTAACAACTGCGTAAAGCACTACATTGGCCAAAGTGGACGCCCCCTTCGTCTTCATACCCACGATCATAAACTAGCGGTCAAAAGACATGATATCCACTCCCTCGCTCATATCGCTGCATACAGACAACCTCAGACATAAGTTCGACTGGGTCAACCAGCGTTCAAATATCAGACAACGGAAACACCAAGAATGCTAGAGAATTTTTAAAAGCTTGGCCTGGTATTCCAGTGAATCGTCAATCAATAGACACATCGACATAGACAAAATCTACCAATCAATGAGAAGGAAATCTCACACACAAAGGATAAACTTTCAGCTGAAGAAACGATCGACACCAATACAAGAAGGTTAGAGTGTGTGAAAACACACAAAATCAACCATATATGTTGAAGGTCGCCAGGAGAGATGACTAATAAACTCGTGGAGAAATAAAAAGGTTTATTTCGAATCGAGGTATGCGTTGAAGATGTTGTCTATTAGGTGGCATCTATCCAGCTTAGAGAAAACAATCACGTCAAAAAGATCAACATCTTTGCTGCTGAAATTCTTCTTTTCTCTCTAATGTCCTAATGGGAACTTTTCATGATTTAGAAATATATAGAAAGAAGGCAAACGATAATAATATTAACAACAATGAAAAGATTACCTGTATTCGAGCTTTGCAACGAATCTGTTGTATTATTTCTATTCGAATGTCTTAATCCTGTTAAACCTCGTGGTTTTGTCAGTCGACACATAGTGCCATCACCAACAGGACGTCGTAAATTACTACTCATATTCTCTTTATCCTTTTCATTGTTATTTGAAGTATTTTCAAATGTTTCTAACTGTTGCCAAAGTTGTTCATCTTGACTGTCAACTAGGCATCGTTTTGTTGGGTTTCTCTTCAGTACTATCGGTAAATTTGACTGAGTAGCAGTTGGATTGTCAGATACAGTGGAAATATTATCAACTGACTGTAATGTACTTTGCCTTTGCTTTGGTGTTAAAGTTAGATAATAAAAAAAAATAGAAATATTAAAAATTAGTGTAATACGTATATACTACTGAATAATATAAGTAGCTTGAGTCAACCCTAAGTAATCACTATTATCCTTAAGCTACACCAAGACAATTTTAACTATAAATGATTATTGTACTTGATTAGAACATGGGCCTTCAGTGGTGTACCCAGAAACTTTTAGAGGTTATTGGGAAAAATCTAAAAATTCCCCAGTCTGAAGTAAGATCTCGACAGACTTTCCCTTCGTAATTGGAAACTATTCATATGGCGATGTTAGTGGCCTTGCAGTTTGATTTAGGTTTTGAGAAGGACAGACGGTCGTTTTGATCACTCTAGAGCCTATTTAACCATCTGTTCTTTAATTTAGGTAGACTTCACTAGCGGATAATTTATTTACCAGTTTACACATAACCTGCAAATTTTACGATTCCTTATGGTAGTTTTCTGACAGCTGAAAAGTCCACTGACTTAATCATTTATCTTCAAGTATTTGTTTTGTAGGGATTTTGTTTCACTGCATGGAAGACATTGCGAAATGGTTGCGCTATGTCGTGAATTGGCAGAAGTTAGAATTCATGCACTGGACATTGGATCGGGTCCCAGTGGCTCAATGGTCTACGAGCTCGTCTTATGACAGAAGGTCCTGGGTCCGAACCCTGGGGGTGGGTGCCTCCTGTTGAAGAGTCCCAAACTAGGACAGAGGAAACAGCTGTCCAGTACTATCAGGTTTTCCAGTGGTTCTATAACTGATGTCAGCTCATGATGAAATCCTGTAATAATCTATTTATTGAAAAATGTCCACGTCAACTAAAATACTACGCTACATCATCCTGGAGAAGATAAAAGATGAGGTACATACAGAATTCTAAACCACTGCTCAGAACAATCTGTATTTAGGAAAGGCAAATCATGTCCTCGTCAAATAACAACTCTACGCACCATAATCACAGAAAAAAGCATAAAGTGGCAGTCAAACTTGTACATCAACTCCATCGACTTCGAAAAGACCTTCAACAGACACAGTTAACCAAGATGCAATTTGGAAACTACTTCAACACTATAAAGTAAAGTGCCCAAAGTCTTTATCCGCCTCATTCAACAGCTATATGACAGTGACACGTGTCAGATGACGGAAAAATCAGTGAGGCGTTTGAAGTGAATTTTTTATTTTTTATTTTTTTTTTTTATACAGGAGTAAGACAAGCTGACTGCCTATTATCACCGATGATATTCATAATTGTGATGGATTGGATTATACCCCGAACTGTGCTTCGGGGTGAGAAGACAGGACTACGCTGGAGGATCGATAAGAAGACCCTAAAAGATCTGGATTTTTCAGATGATATATGTCTAATGTCACACAAACTCGAAGAGTTAGAGGCAAGCGGAAAGCAACAAACTGATAAAAAAGGCTGTCAGGAAGTGAAGACAGGACTCCAGGTAAACACTGAGAAGACGAAGGTGATCAAGATAACCAACCAACGGCAACAATAACAACCAGCACCGATCGCCATAAATGAGAGAAATTTGACAGAGGTTACCTCCTTCACCTATCTAGGAAGCATCCTTTCAACTACAGGTGACAAAACGGATGCAAATGTCAATGCCAGTCAGAATGGGAAAGGCAAGATCCGCCTTTGTCAACCTGAAACCAGTTTGGAAATCTTTTGCACTTAGCCAGCAGAAAGAACAAGATTCGTATCTTCAACACAAATGTGAAGTCAGCCAGTTCTTCTATAAAGGTCAAAAACTTTGCTCATGCATCACGGAAACGATTTCCAACAAGCTGCTGAAGACTGATATCAACATTTGCCCAAGTTCCTGGCCCCATACTGAAGATCAAATGGCCAGCTGACCAGATAAAAATAAAAACAACAAGAAAATCTGGCTGGGAACACACCAACCGAAAGCTAGTTGCTCAACAAATATGTAAGTGGAAATGAAGATGGATTGATCGGGCATTCATTCAGGAGGCCATTGAATGACATCGTACATAATGCATCGTGTATAATGGGAAACGACGAGTGGGTGGTCGCTGCAAGAGTGACATAGAAGAGATTTTGTGGCGCGGAAAAGATGAAAGAGTTTGGGCAATCTTGGACCCAGCTGAAAAGGATGGCAGAAAATAGACAAGGCGGCAATGTGTTGAAACTATAACACTTGATTTCAGTCAGAAAATTTATTTTATTGACTCATTATAACGCCAAATTACTGATTGTGATAGGCGCAGATGATTCTGTTTATCGAGTCAATGCAGTAATACCTCATATTTTCCCCGAAATGTTTTCAGGTGACACATCATATATCATTAAAAGGGATAGCTCGCTAACGTTCACTTCATATTGAAATCTACGCCAAATCGATGCTATCTGAGGGGGGGGGGACAATACAGGCTTCACAATTAAATCAACTAGCTTATAGAAGACAACTAAATAGAAATTATCCACGTGAGCTACAAATCTTCTCTAATATATATACCATAAAGAAATAACACTGAAAATAATGTCTCAGTTGACAGCTAAACGTCCGCCAACATCAATTGAAGTCACGAAATATATATAAGGAAATCATAGCAGAGAATTCGTAAAACTCAACAAATACCGGTGGTTATTTTTCAGGAGTTGGTTTAATGGTTGATTTAACTCTTCAGAATTAATCTGATGCTCGCTAGTGACTTGCTACAAAATGGAGTTTCTTGGAGTTCTAGTCAGAAGTCGTGACCAGCGAGGTTCAACCAACCATTCAGGTGTGAGGATGGATGTTCTACCAATGACATTGGTTGGTGGTCGAGCCACTGAATTGAGTTCCAGTGGCTGAATGGTATACCAGCTTGGCTGGTAACCGGAATTTACTGGGTTCAAACACTGGCAGTGGGTGCGTACTGCTGATGATTCCCAAACCAAGATGAAACAGATACCCAGCACTTCCTGGTTGTCAACGGTTCTCTAACTGATTTCAATTCGTGGTCACACTCGTAAAAGATAGACGTTTATGTTTTAAAAAGTGCTTTACGTTATTCCAGGAACAACCTGGAGAGGTATGCATAAGTGGAGATTGAAAAACTAAACGTTTCACATTACCTAATAAGTCTAGAAATGACTAACTCTGTCTGATTGTACAAAATGGATAAAAGATAGTTGATTTGGGGTAAATTGTTTATAAATGAGATCTCTATAAGAAATAAAACGTTGCTAATAAGCACCGATGATAATCATAATAACGAACTAAACCTCAAATAATAAAATGATGGCAAGAATGTTACTCTGACCATTATTAAGGCTAGTGAGTATGTTAATTATCTGTGAGCACAAATGTTAGGTTTAAACTCCCGATAATGTATAATTCGTGAATTTAAAGTCTTCTTGTCTAATATTGAGAAGCATTATGGAACACTGTGAAATAGTTATATGCTGGGAATTATTGTTTGTTAATAACACGACATTTTTCTCACCCACTTCAGCCTGATATGCTGTGCTGTTAATCTCCTGGATTTCCTAAGTGAGAGGCTTAATAAGCGCAGGGCGTGCATACAGATGAAGTGTCCCAAACCAGAACGAAACAGCTTTCTAGTGCTTCCTAGTGCTTCAGTAATTCTTTAACTGGTTTTGGTTCCTAATGAAGTGTTCATTTTTTATCATGAATGAACATCACAGATAACCAGGATCTTCTAGTCTGGACGTTTTTTTCAGCGGTGACTGGTGATTCCTAACCAATGTCAATTCCCGATATAGAACCACAGCTAACCAGCACCATCAATGAGCACCCATTTCACCCTGATATGGTTAGTCCCCGTAGCCTCCATTTCATGGATTCAATTTTCAATCGGATCTTGGGTATGCACAGTGCTGAAGTGGCCCAAGCTAGGACGAAACAGCTGTCCTATGCTTTTTCTGGTTTTCAGTGGCACTCTCTGACAAATTAATTAATTGATTTTAAACAAAAAATAGTGAAAATTAAATTTTCAAGATTTGTTTTTATGCCTTTGACGATGGATTGATATCAGTTAAACAACCAATGGAAACCAGTCACAGGGAGTACTAGACAGCTAGCTGTTTCATCCTAGTTTCGTGAATCATCGGAAGTACTCACCCACTGGGGGTTGGACTTAGAACCTTCTGGTTACAAGAAAAGCTAGCTCGTATACCATTCAACCAGTGGGACCCGATTTAGTGGCTGCCAGTCCATGAATTCTAACTGACTAGTGACTCGCTACAGGATGGAGTTTCCTGGAGTTCTAGTGAGAAGGCATGACCAGTGAAGTCCATCCAGTCAAAATGGAGGATGGATTTCCCAGCGATGATATTGGTTAGTGTCAGTTGCGCTAAATCATGAATTGGTAGAAGCTAGAATTCATGGGCTGGCGATTGAGTCGGGTCCCAATAGCTGAATGGTCTACCAGCTCGTCTTGTAATTGGAAGGTCTTGAGTTCGAATTCTTGTGGTGAGTGTGTACTTCCGGTGATTCCCAAACTAGGCTGAAACACCTGTCCAGTACTCACAACCGGTTTCCAGTCATTCTCTAACTGACATCAATCTGTGGTCAAGCTTGTGAAAATAAAATTGATATGTCGATATCAACCGTTCATAGGAGAAA